TAACTAACTGCACTACCTTCTCTTCCTGGGGGGAAAGACAATACGGTACCTTCTTCCTCCTTTATAACACCTCTAACAGTGACAGACTTACATTGCCATCACCTTTTTTGAAAACGCTTAGGCACCTTAAAAACGAGAACTGTATTGCTCTCAGTTGGCTGCAAGCATACGCAGAGCCTTTCTGCAGGCCACCATGACCTGCAGGCCACATGGAGCAACTCCGACAACATCCATGGGAACTGCCAGAGTCATACCATCTCATAGGAAGTTGAAGGAGAAGTGGTGCCTAGAGAAGCTCCAAGAGCAGGCAAGCAATGGAGAATGGGTTCCCTTCTTCCCCTGCCCAGGAACTTTGCCTTTTCCAGGGTAGCTACCTGGAGGCAGAGCTGAACCTGGTCCTTCTCCATCCTGGCTGGGGTCACACAGAGGGTCCGCAGACTGCCCTTGCACAGACCATGCTAGGGAGTGGGGTGGGCAGAAACCTGCAGGCATGTTCCCTGTGCTGACTGCAAGGGAGAGCCTGGCCGTAACAGTTCCTTTCTGGGGACATGCACAGTGACCCTAGCACGTGGAGCATGACCTGCCTAATGGCTAAAAAGCTAACATCTGCTTTGTCTGATCCCCAGCTCCTGTCTCAAAGGGCTGAAATCCAATTCACCTCAAACCATCTGGAGCCCACCTCCAAATGAACAATTCCTTCAAGTCTTGTTTAATCCATCTGCAAGCGGCTCCACTCTTTGGTCTGCCATGAAATGAATCCCCTCTGAGGGCCCAGAGCAGGTCAGTATGAGCTGAGTGTGTGTCTGTGGTGGGGCAGCTATTTGCTAGTGAACCTCTGAGGCATCTCCCCCTGTCCTGGAAGAGGAACAGCAGCAAGGCTCAACTCCACTTGCTGTGAGCTTCCACCGTGACAATCTTTGACAAAGGAGGTGTGAGCCACAGCAGCTCAGGGGTTGCACCAGGTGCACCTCTGACAACTGTCATTACCTCCCATTTTCTGCCCATCTGCATAACTAGATGGAGATTAATTCTCATCTCCTGCAAGGAAGAATAAAGTGGATGCTGAGCCAGAAATCCATTTTCAATACCCTTCACAAAGTAGCTCTTCCATCTTTTGGAGTATTATATTTAAATAAGAAAGAGGAACTTGAAGAATAGTATCAGCATAACATTCGTAGAATCATAGAATCATTACATATGATGCTTCAAATTTGTAGGTATTATTAAAGAATACTGTGGTGTCAACATGATCCATAGTATAACATCAGTGAATGATGAGAAAGGAGAAGAGAAACAATTTTTATAAAGCACAAGTATCTCTCCACAATGCTAAAAAAGGTTCAGTAGTCACTGCTGCATCTCCTCGTGCATGTGTTTTGTTTGTTAATGTTACCACAAAATCTCTGTGGTAACCTCATGCATGTTTCACAGGTGAGCAGGATTTTGTTCAGCAGAAAAATTCAGATCATGAATACCCTTTAGCCATGAAAATTTCCAATACATTGAAAAAAAAGAGTGGCAACTGCACAACCGATCCTGCAGTACCACCAGCAGCCCTTGAATTGCCTCGCCTCTAACACAATGACTTTGTATTTCATAAAAACATAATCAAAGCCAAGCATTCAGACAACATTATCAGTGTTGCTGAATCCTGCAGGTGCTACCTGCCTCTGCAGATCAGCCTGTAATGATAATGATAGTTTGTGTGCGTGTCTGTTAATTTAATAGAAGAGGCAATAACACTGTTACAGTGCTCTTCAGTAGAGGGCAACCCTCTCATCACTGCCCTTAACTGCCACTAAACCCTGCGTAGGGTCTGATGACTTTGGGTTGTAACACTGCAGGACGCTGAGGGCCAAGGGAAGCCAGCAGGCAGGATACCCAGTGCCTCTTTCAGCTCCTGACTTGCAGTACAACCTTCCTTACACTGCTTTCACCTGGCTATGTCTGCTCTGCTGGTCTAGATAGGGGGAGAAAAGCAAGCTCCGGTCCTGCCCATTACCCTACTCTTGGCCACGGAAACAGGTGAAGCTGTGCCTTCATGCCACCAGCAAAGATGCGGGCAGTCTTAACGTAGCCAGACCCAGAGAGGAGAACTTATGGCCCAGATCCACAAAAGTACCTGCCCCTCAGTGACTCCAGCAGGAGATAACGCATCTCAAAACTTTTGTCAATTTCGTTTTAATTCTCCCCTTTTCCCTTGCACAAAAGCACTATAAGCTAGAGCACTAGGTTTCCATCAGATACAAGGTACAGACAAAATTTTGAGGGCAGAAAATTCTAGTGATTACTTCTGCTCATGACTTTTTTCTCCCCACCACGTCACTCTTTGCTTTGTACTTTTCGCTTCTCTTCAGCATAACAAAGAAAACGAGACAAAGTACTTCCCCTGGCACACCGTGTCCTTCCTTCTCAGCCCCAGCAGGTACCACCAGATCGGCCTTCCGAACCACAGGTAGCAAAACCTGCCATTCATCACTGGCAGCCTCTGTGCCGCTCTGGAGTACGTTTCCCTTGAAAAGCCTGCTGTCAGCCGCACTCCAGTGAGCCGGCAGCTGCCTGGCTGCCGGGGAGGGGGATTTAGGAAAGATATTCCAGGGGACAGCTCAAATTTCATCCTCTTGTGTAGTTCCGTGGCTCTCCTCCCCATACTCTCCAGACTTCCATTGGTATTTGTACAACCACTTAAAAACACAGTTTGGGGGCTTGGGGAGGGTTCCTGCTTGACCTCCGTATGGAAGGTGGGCAAGCAAGGGCCACAGGCTAGAGTACATTGCTTGCACCTCGTTGGTAAGGGGCGATGCTGCCCCATCCACCCTGGCCAAGTATGCAGAGTTTAACTGTGTCTGCAGGAACTGCCTTTCAGATCGTTTTTTTAAGTGGATCTGTTAGCACAGTTTAGCTGCCAGCATCGATACAGTAGAGCTCTTCAGTGCTGCCTACAACATAACAGGGGCTGGCAGCCTCCCCAAAACACAGCTGTGCCTGGAGATTTCCTCGCTGGCCGCAGTGCCCACGTGTTGGAGCAGAGGTGGAGAAGCAGCAGCAGCTCCACCATGTGCTTCTCTCACATGGAATAGTCCCCCCTGCATGCACGTCCACCCCGCTCCCCAGCTCCTGCCAGGACTTACTCCAGTTTAATTGCTGACGTGCCCAAGGTTCCTGCAACGATTTGTTTCTTTTCCTAAACTATTCAGTAATGTTTGCAGAACGTAAACCAGTTAGGACATCTTGCCCGGGGACAGACATCAGCAAACCAGAGATTCAGAGGAAGCAAAGCTAAAGGATGCTGGCACTACAGTACTTCAACAGGGTACCAGTGTCTCTCCCCCCTCCTACCACACATCCAAAATGTGCAGTGAAGTAAGCAAGCACTTGTGCAGCCTGAACAGAGTGGCTACGGTTTATGCTATACTGCCTCATCTGTTCTTTGCACCAGCTGTTCCTGGAAGGAGGTGCCACTGAATTGTTTCTCTCTTCCTCTGATGCTCTGGAAGAAAGACAGAGGGCATTTTTCTTAATCTTGGCTTTTTAGCAAAGGGAACAGGACTGGATTGTTTTGCACTGGCACTTGCTACCTTCTCATCCCATGCCCTTCTTGCTGCACATGCATGGTACAAGACATTACATGCTGAAATAATATTTACATTTGCAGCTGGGCTCATTACTGCTGTAATTTAGAAGGTATAACCAGTCATCAGCATTTCAAAATATATTCAATTTTCAAGAAAGAGGCAATTTCCACAGGGCAATGACCATAAATGAATGACAGTGTACCCAAGAAGAATGAACAAAGCTGCCAGTCTGTCAAGAATTTGCCTGACACGTCATCCCAGTTTAATTAAGGGAAAAAATTTACTGTAAGAGACAGGAGAGCAAGTCAACTCTCCTACAAAGGTGCCTCCTTTCCTTTGTGCATTAAAAATAATCTCTCTTTGTTTTGAATTACTGATGCACAAGCAGCTTGTGGCAAATCATTCTCCAGAATTAAATAGATGGCTGAAAAATACGAGCCAAATTCATCCTTTATGCACTGGAGAAATTTGACTCTAGATGATTTGTGGGTCTTTCAAACTCACCTCAGTGTATCAACTAAATATTTTCCCCAAATTTTGTGCCCTGAAGGCACTGAGACAACCCCAACTACAGGCAACTCTCAGCTCTCCGGCGAGCGGCTGTGGTGGCCACGCTTCACTCCTCTGCCCCAGAGGCACGGAGCTGTGGCCGACCAGCACTGCCCTTCCCAGCCCTGCCGCTGCGCCTCTGAAGGCACCCCAGCAAGCTGTGCCCCAGAGCCTGCCAGACAACATCTCCTAGCCAAATCCAGTTTCTTCCATTTCTGCAGTTTCAGTGCAAGAGCAAAAAGCTTTCTCAGTCTTTGGAGAACTGCTTCAATCCGAATAAACTTTTCTATCAGAGGTCTAGTGTCTCAGCACGTCAAGGGATGCAAGGCAGCTCCACGGACATTGCTTACACCAGCTAAGAACCTGTATGGTATTATGGCCAAAATAATCTGTTTTCACTGACTGAATGATCTGACTAATGGATAAATGTACAATAAAAAGGTATTATGTTTAAATCCAAATATTTCTCTATAGTTCTGGAAATCTAGATGCAGTAGCATCATGTTTGCGTGAAGAATGAGAAAGCTAAGACTGCTTATAAAATAAAAGTTGTGCTGTCTAGAGTACCTGTTTTGTCAAACATGAGTTAAGTCAGAAGAAACAACAAAAACAGTGCATTTTTCAAGAACATTGATTTCAGGGGGGTAGTTTTCTCCAGTTTAATAATCAAAGATACCACAACACATATAAATAAACTGGGGACTGAGAGCTGTAGTTTTACGCTGGTAATGTTCCACAAGGCAAATATATCTAAGTGCATTTATCTCTTCTCAGAGTAGACAGGTAAAAGCATTAGCCTCCATCATGCTGTTGTCCATTATCAGGTCTACATGCAGGCCCAGAAAGACTATGTAGTACATGTATAAATATACATACCCGACTTGGGTACAGTCTCGATATGGCAGCACTGAAAATATGCTACAGAAGGATCTTCTGCTGCTGATAAGGACTATTCTAAAATATAAAAGAAAATAAAAGAAATCAAAGACTAAAATTTAAAAATCCCACCACAATAAGCAAAGCAACAGATGTTACCGTTGAGGAATTCATAATCATGAACCTTCCATCACGGATGATTTCTCCCTCCTCTTTTTTATCTCACAGGTAGGGTATCGCGCTACTGAGTCTTCACAGAAGTGCTGAAGCCTGTGCTTCACCACAACCTGTACCCATTACACAGCAAATGAGTAGTGGAGTCCCATCCCCTCTGCAGCCTTTCTAGGAAGACTATCTTGAATACATCACTTGGAATCCAGGATAGATGTTTTTCTAGCGAAAGGAGTCCTAGTGAAAGGAGCCCACCCCGAGAGGCAAGGAGCTGTTCTCACAACTCACCACTATGGCTGAAACTAAACTGACAATTCCAGCAGCAACCCAGGTGATACACACCAACAACCACCTGTGATGCACACCACAACTCTGTGGCTGACTCGGAGTCTGCGTTTATCGGACAAGAATTTCCGGCTGCTGGTCATGACCCTTCTCTGCTAAACCAAAGGACTCCCTTGATTTTCAGCTTCCTGTTCCTGAAATAGCCCAATTCATGGATGAAGTCAAAGTTCGCTATTATCGTAAGCTTTCAGATCCTTTCACTGTTTTCCAGGTTCCTCCTCGAGTCTTTTCCAGTTTTTCCCCATCACCCTTCTTGGTCTCTGGGCAGCATCACTGGCCTCAGCAGTTGCACAGATGGCAGATAAAAACATCACATCTTCCAGTCTTACCTTTAAGATCAGTGTCTAGCCCTGATGACCCACCAGCCTCTGCGCTCAGTAATCACATCAGCCCTCTTGGTTATGATGTTGCATTGACACTCAGGCATGACTGATCCCACAGCTCCTCGCCCCTTCTCCTCCAGCGCCACGTCTATCCCAGTCACTACCTGTCAGGGCTGAATCCCTCCTGTAAGCATGGCTTGCTTTCATTCCTTATAGGCAAGCAGCTCAAGATTTGGCTACATGAAAGCATACATTATCTGCCTGCACAGAGCTTATCTCAGAATCCAGGCCACTCTTACAGCAAACGCCTTGGATTTTTAACCAGTCTCGAAATCTCTGCATCATCTGCAAAGTCACTGTGTGGCATTAAATCAAATACCTTAGAGCAAGCGATCTGTTTTACAGCCACACTATTATCTTTAGCCATCAAGCTCTGACATATCATTAAGCAACATGAAAACCACCTTGAGGTCAAGACCCACTTTCCATAAAACTGCATGGACTACCAATAGCTACATTACTATAGTTTTGGGAGATGCAGATTGGCAAGAAGCCAAGAGAAGCTTGATCAAGATGCAAGATATAAAATGCCAATAAATAACTGATTGTTTATAAATATAAAATATATTTATATTTATATTTATAAATATACCCTCTTTCTCAGGACACCTCTTTTCCCTCAGGACACCGACAATTGTACAATTGTACAACGTACACTAAAAAGACCCTTCTTCCCTCTAAAGTTGGCCAACAGGCTGCATCCCCTCAAATTCCTCTAAGACACGGTGATAGCAATTCATGCCATGTTCTAATCTGATTAGTGTTAGAATTCACTGATGTTTTTACCTTTCTAAAAATCTCCAGTTGTGGTCCAAATGCTCGGACCTACTGCTAGGTTGATTGTCAGGGCTATTGCACTTCCTTGCTCAGCTCTCCGACTTTGGTTTTTCTGATGTTGGGTGCCACAGATCTGTATGTGAGGATTTCACCTGAATTTTTCATCCTTTGTCCTACACTGGTCAAAGTTGGACAACAAACCCTTGCAAGCTATTTTGTTCTTTACTGCCCGAAAACCACCATATGCACCTATAAATCTCATACCAGTTACGCTGTTATTAAAACACTGTTTCCTTAAGGGACCAGCTTAGTCATCGTTCTTGGAAAAGGTTTAGATCCCCAAGACAGCTGCTGCATGTAATGCTTGGAAAAATGCAGAATGATCAATTTTCCTTCTCCTGGATCATTCTGTTATAGCAATCCTATTTTCTTCCTTAAAAGCATGTTTAAAAGCAAAGTGGCATTTACCCTTTAATAAAGGAGGGTTTCTAATAATAAACATGCATACAGTGTTAGGAATTTCTCCTGCAGCAGATAAAGTAGGATTTCATTGTTTGTCTGAATGCTGTAACATCCCTTACCTATGGTAAATATCTTAGATCCTGTAAGATGGTCTCATGGTGCATCAGTAAGTTATAGAGCAGGGGGGGAATAATTTTTCACATTTGAGAAAGGCAATCCACAAGCAAAAAAAACCTGGCATATGATTAATTTTGTGCTTGCCACTGTTTATTGCTGAATGGTTGCTACTCACAACAGCTTGCTTGTTCACTGGAAGCCTTGTTTGCTGATGTATGAAACTTGGCACAGATTTCGAGGCTGACATCAGAAAGCATCTTTGAATTCGGAAAACCACTGTACCCACTAAGCGTATTCCCCCCACTCCCTCTGGTTGCTTCTGGAAATAAAGCTTTTCCACCAATGCCCTAGACCTCCCTAAAAAACCCCCAACTCTTAATACTTAAGAAAAACACACTGGTGCTTCCATGTCCACAAGCAGAGACAACAGTGGGAAGTTACCACAGAAAACTTGCTGTGTGTATCAGAAGGAATCAGACCAGAAAGGAAATAAAAAGCACCAGCCCAGCCTCTAGTTTTTTCAGATTTCCCTCCCTTGGGACCCAAGTATCACCTCTCTTTCCATAAACCGGGGGACCCTCTATTTTACATAAAGATCTCCCAGGCAGAGCAGGAGAGGAACCCACAGCCTCCACTGCCAGGATGCCACAAAACCTCATCTGCAGAGCTGCTGGAGGGGGCTGGTGCAAAACAGCCTTAGGAGCTGGACTGGAAGAGAAGCAGGGAAGGCAGTGGTCAGAAGCTCATCATGGAGGGATAAAACGGCATTTTATTTAGAGGTCTGATGATATGCATGGAAAACAAAAAAATTCTGAGGGCCTGCAATGGTCTGCTGGAGCAGAAAGTCCAGAAACTTGTCACAAAGTATGCTTTGCAGAAGGAGGTGTGGTAGAAGCCTGTTGCTGTTCAAGAAAATCGAATTATTGTTTATGGGAGAAGAGCATTTTCCTGGATTTCAACTCTTCAACAAAGGGCATCTACGACCCTGCGCAGCTCTGAATGAGCTATCTCCGATATCAGAAGCAGCTTGAGTCAAGAGTGGGTTTACGTGCCCTGATTGCCATTGTGCCACCTAGACATGTTTAAAATTACTTCATGAAAAGGTTTTCACTCTCTAATTCTCACATTTCACCAAGAAGTTATACTAATTACTATGGTTCAGAGCAATCATTATTTTGCAAGAGAGCTCTGACAATGCAACTGTCTGAGACTGTAAAAGCTAATCTTCCAATTTCTTTAATGAGGTGTATGCTATGAAACTACAAAAACTTACTGAGCACAAGGCTCTCAACAGAATCAGTAATTCGCTTGACTTGGAGAAGAAGAATGTCTGTTTTCTTTAGCGTCTGTCTAGGTTTGATTGTGTTGCACCAAAAGGCTGCGATCAGGCAACGTGATATACATCATATGTACCATATACATGCGGAATACTGTAGCCTCTCTTCTCATACCTGATTGGTGATGTTTGACTACCAAGGCTTTGCTGCCCTGCATGCTAAGGTGCACACACAAACCATGGATGCTGTCTGGGTAGCAGCCACCATTTTGGAGTCTCCCAAGTTCAAGTTGGGGCTATTGGAAGGTGGCTGAGGGTAATTATGAACTGTGAGGACGCTGCGAACAGCCAACCTCTTAGAGTGCATGTGTGTGCATTTCCACAATTAAAAGGGCAGCAAAAGAGACCTTTCATAGCCTACGGGTGGTGTTTGGCCTTGGCTTAGATCTGTATGCTAACAAAAAAATTGAGAGAGCAATGGCATGGGTGTGGGAGAAGAGCATTGTTTTACTGTTTTTGTATCTGCTATATAGGATGACTCTAGAAATGTTCTTGTCCCATTCTCACCATGAATTGTTTGTTCAGCTGGCTCAGGTTGCTGTTTTGGTGGCCTGTTTCTGCTAGATAGGAAATCTTCTGCTTTACAGTTTATGGAAGATATCACCAATAAACCTGCTGAGTAAAGCAGGTGAAACCACACGCTGGTGGCTACCTATGCCAATTTGTATGTTAGAGTTGACTTGTCTTTTGTCTTTTAATGGGAAAATTTATTTTGTGCTACTTTACAAGACTGCTTTGATAATACAGTCTAAGAAACCTAATTTTCCAGCTCCTTTAATAAGCCACGTCCTACAAGAAACCGGTTTAACCAGTGCACAGAACCATCAACAGGAAGCTTTACAAGGACTAGCTGATAAGCCGTGGTCTGTGTATAGGTGGCCTTTCTCCGTGCTAAATAGCTGAACTCTAATTTTAACCACAGCTGGTCCTGCCTTGCTGCTGGACTGCTGAAGGCTGGATCCAGAGCATCGGCACTCAGCGCGTGCCATCCCCAGGGCTGAGAGGGGAAGAGCTCTCAGTGCTGCAGGACGAGGACACGTCACTTTACAGGTCGAGAGCCGCAAATAAGGCCAGTTACCAGAGAAAGAAGCCCTGAGCTATCATCCACACTGCAGTTTTCTTTGCTGTGACACTCACAGTCATAAGCCACTGAAACAATTACTGAAAGTGCCAGCTATTTTAAAGCCCAGCTATCAAATTCACCACTCAAAAATATATTCTGTATAGATGTTTTCAAAGCTGGGTTCCTCAAGTTAAGTGAAAGGCTGACATGCTGCGACAGAAGGGTCAGGGGGTTTGGGGAGAGCTCAGAGACCCCGACTCCACCGCGGCTCAGCACCTGCATCCTACCACAAGCCACCTAAGACGAGGTCCCGGGCACGAGAAGGAGCCCCAGGAGGGTTTTCTATCCATTACAATACCTGTGCTCATCCATGTCACAGCAAATCGAGGAGGACACCAGCTTTAAAGGTCTTAAGGTACTCAGAAACTCTGTTGATTTTACGATGAACGCATAAAGCAGATCCACCTGAATTTCCAGAGGTCCTTTTCATCCAGAATGCCTACTAACTTCAGTGACTGCAACAGCATCCAGACCCCTCAGAAAAACAGGGTATGCACTCAGATTACTTACTGCTAGACTTATCTGGCCTTAGGGGTGACACAAATTTGACTTTGCATTTTATTTTTAGGTAATATCGCTGTGGCTCTTTGTCCATAGGACAAAAAGCATTTTCAAAACTGTGTATCTTATTCTTATTGTATCTGTGCTCTAGATAAAGGGATCTTTAATATGGTTATGGAAATATTCTGGAAAACTCTGTCTGCTGATAAAGATAAGAAGCCAGCTGAATAACAGAATCTTACTCACTGTTTTCTTAGCAAGAAAAATATTCAGTTATATTATCAGATGTAATGACTGATACATAAACTAAGACAAAATGCTAGGATATATCCTACAAATACTTTTTTGCAACAGATCGAGAAAAGAGTTTATGAATCAAGTATTTATTCATTTTTCTGCAGGTAATATTTCTATCAAGTTTATGGATGTATTTTATATATGCATCTCAGAAATGACTTGTTCTCTGTGGAATTTGCATTAATACTTTACGAATAATTATTTTTGGCTACAAGAAATTCCCAGAGTGTACATATATTTATGTACAAACAGACTAAAATTAGAGGGCTGCTTTTCAGCATTTGATTCCACATGTATTTGTTGTAAAGACAATAATCAATCAGCTGCTAGTCAGACAATAGTTAAGTCAACAGTTCTGCATGCGTCTGTTTGCTACAAAAGCTGTTTCTGAAAAGCCATCATCCCTCAGAGCCACCTTCTGCAATATTTATGCTGATTACTACCTTTCACTTCATTTAATTGTACATGTGAGAATAAACGTGAGGAAAATTTTGCTCGAGCCAAGTGACACCTACCAGAATTCAATTCATAAAACCTGCGGTTCGATGTAACGCCAGTTTCTATTGACCCGGTTCCACGTTTGATGGAAACTACAGGCTACATGCACAAATCGGTCCACAGAAACGGACGTGGTTCTTGCCCACGGCAGTTGTATGAGAACAGGTATGTGCAAGGGTCAACTCTCAGTGGGATGGTTTAGTCTATATGCAACCTGTTCAGGTAGTCTATTTAAAGCCTATTCAAGCTTGGAAGGACAAGAATAAAATCATGAGGCACGTGGGGAAATTGCCTTGGGAAAAAAACCAGAGAGGGCAGATGTCTTCTTTATAAGCAGGGAGGACCTAGTTTTACTTCTGAGCTGGATGATACTGCAATAAAGAACCTATTTTGCTGATGGGAACACCACGACAGGCACCGTGCCTTTGCAGTAAGGGAAGTCCCTGCCGACCGGTGCTGTATAGGTCCCACCTGTGCCTATGGCTGCAATCCGGGCAGTGCATGCCCCAGCTCGGGGTGTGCCGTGGCCGCAGCTGCACTCCTCACACATCCCCTGGGAGCCCTTCTGCCTGCGTCTGCCCTGAAAACAAGGATCCCACTCCTCACCTTGCCACAACCATCCCCAGCTGCACGCTTACCAACCAGCACTTTGCATCCAGGAGGACACAACGGTGCAATTGGGATCTGTCATGTTTATAATTTATCTTGTAAGACTCAGGATAATCTTAAAACCTTTCCCTGAAGCTGTTTTCTTGAGTCACTTGTCCGGTAAGCCTCCCACCACAGGCTGCCCTGACAACCCAGCTAGCTTGACGCCTACCCTTACACCCACTAATAGCTGTTGAAATGCCATTCAGCCATTGTTAAACTTGTTCCCGGCAGGTTCGGCCATGCACCCCTCTCACACTTAGCACCTGGCACTACCCTTGAAGAAATGCAACCAGATTATGCCTAGTTTACTCAGACTGATTTTCATTTTACTCAAGTTATTCGTATTATGGACACACAGGTCTTAAAAATCCATGAGCTAGCACTTCCATTGACTCGTACTTCACCTGAGGAAGGAGCGTGCACTGCAGCCTGCACCTTCACAGACTATTTTAAAGCCCATTACTACATATTTGGTTATGTGGCAATGGCACACTGTGCTCTTGCACGGGGATGCTGACCCTGCCCTTTCCCTTGCGCCCCATGGATAGCCTTTGCAGAAGCAGCCTTTGCATGCGCAGTACCTGCCGTTTCTGGTATCGTGTTGCCGCATGTTCTTGATAAAATGAACCTTCTTAAAGTTCTTTGGTCTGGGTGATCCTGAGAGTGTCCGACATCTGAAAAATAAATCAGTTGGGAGGGGAAAAAAAAGAAAAAAAATAAAAGTACTCAGTTCCCTGCTGTACGGCCAAGAAGTCTACACAAAGGCAGGAAGGAAAGACGAGACAAATGATTCAAGTCACCCTGTGTTAGGAATCAGCAAGAACAATAAAGACAATAAGTCTGGAAATGTGACAGCTCAAATAAAAAAAAATATTTAAAATAATAATAAGAAAAGGCACCACCACCCCTCCCTTCACGCAAAAAAACACATCATAAAAAAATCTCAGCAAAATAAAACTTCCTGTAATCTGCTGTGACAGGTTAGCCCAAGCTTTCAGAGGAAAAAAAAAAACCAAAACTAAAACAAAACCTGGTAAATATGTGATTTTCCCACTCACACCAACACCCACACTTTTGTATCCTCCTCAGCTATTGATAAAGGAGCTATTGAGGAAAGTTCTTTCGTGTTTTAATTTTAGAAAGATTTAAAATTTCTCATTTGCTTTTAACTCTAACTATCACTTTTCACATTCCTGACAGCATACAAAACAACTGAAAATAAAATAAATTACCTCAGGAAAAAAAAAAATCATTCTTCAAAACATTAATCCTTAAATCCATTTTACATCTGAACGTACTTTTAAAATTGCAGTTAGAGAAAGAAATTGCCAGAGGGAGGAGAGATGAAGCAAACAGCAGTATCCCCCCCCTTCCAGCCTTGCTCTTTTTAATCAGCTGAAACCACAGCACGATGTGAAAGCTTTCTCTGTTTCATCTCAGTGCTGTTTTGTTGCAAGGCACGGCATGACGCGCAGGCACCGGAGATAACTCCTGCGCTCGCTGCGCGGCCAGGGCTGCTGGACCGCAGCCCCTGCATCCGCCGTGGGAGCTAAGGGACCAGCATCCCCCGCTGGCGCACGGGACCAGCACAGTCCCTCTGCGTTGAGCCTCGCTAACCTATTTTTCCCATCCTCTCCTATGCATTGGCAGAGTTCAGCAGCTTCCCAACCCCGAGAGGTCCTTTTGTTGGACCGAAACCACAGACCACCAGTCCCAAGGCACCAGGGACTGCCAGTCCCCGTTGCTGTACCCAAACGCCATCATGCTGCATGGGCACACCCCGAGGGGGGGGACCCCATCACTTTGCCATTTCTGCCTTCCTCCTGTTAGTAAAATCCTTGAGATTCCCTCACCCTCTGGTTGCAATTAGCCTTGTTAGCTTCTTCACGGGAAAATACCACCAAGAGAGAGGTTCTACCACCAATTCTGCAAATTAGCAAGTAAAAATACTGCCTCGCAAACCATACTTTGTTTATATCTTTTGCCAATTATACGTGTTTGAATCATTTATGAGAACACTTTCATAACATGCTGGTAAGCATTCAACGGTAAGCTTTGTAAAAACAATCAAGCCTTGATAATAGGCCAGTTGGTACAGCCTCTGCTATTAAGTCTTTGCTTCGAGGTGGGGAGAGACAGCCAAGCTGCATGTGGATAAACAAGGCTATACGCTAAACACTGATATAAACCAGCTGAATTACAGGTCCTAAGATAAAGAGACATTCAAAATTAAGCTGCCGCCTTGCCGAACAGCTGACCTGGAACCATACCATGCACTGGTCAGATTACTGATCAGCCTGTTTCTAAACTGTTAAGCAGTTGCTCCATTTTCCATCACCCCAGAGGACTGCCTAGTGACTAATTACTGCGGTCCCCAGAGAAACTGTGGCCTCCTGGATGCAGAAATAAAACCGCACCGAAGCTGCTGATATAACAAGGATGGGGGCAGATTTATTAGTGAGGTAGCAGTCACAAACCTACCAGCCAACACACAAAGACATAACACTGGTTACTGAAATAAGATTGTGTGTGCTGAGAGAACAAACAATAAAAATCCATTAAAAATAAGAATACTAAAATACTAGCCTTCAAAAGCTTACTTTATTAAACCAGCTGTACTTACGTTTTAAAGGCACTACGTACATCAGGGGCTAGTCATTCATGTTAGTGACAACTAAACTTTTCTATTAATCAAATCTGACTTTTTATTTCCTGACATTTTATTTAAATACTGACTTTTTATTTAATAACCTAAAGCCAGGGAACGTGTCATTCATGTCACCTACCACCTTGCAGGGCGCATGAGGTTCCAATGCCTTTACCCACTATGAAGAACGTCTTAACGTGAACACCCACCCAGCTACTTTTCAACATGGGGAGAGACAGCAAGTCTGTCCGTGCATGTGCCTTACAGACAAGTAACCAGAGAGAGAGTAAATAAAATGACCTCCGCAGTGGGGCATTTTCCTCGATGTCCTCCAGAGTCTCCAGAGAAGATCGCTGGGAGATCAGCCGACGTCTGCAGAGAAAACAGAACACAAAACACCACCGCTGGTTAGAGCGCATGAGAAAGTCCTCAGAGCTGTTATTTAGTAAAGCTCACAAACCGCCGTTCACTAAGCCATACCTTTGGATATTAATAAATTCTGTCCCGTTCTGCTTATCTTACTAAAACTATTTGATCCCAACCAGAAGCAAGCTTACTCCATACAAGCTTCTATAGCAAAACAGAAGTTGAAACTTCCCAACAGCTCCTCCTCAATTTGTGCTTTCAGGTCTTCCTTCCTTCAAGGGTTTAACACCCACCTAACACCAGTCCCACATTTGCTGTGGCGTAGCTTGCAATGCTACAAGTACAGTTCTTTGATAAAATAATGCAGACGTAGATCTACAGAGACTGCCTGTCGTTCACACTGCCACAGGGGACACTTCTCTTTGCCCCATGCCCCATTGTCCTTTTTACCAAATAAATGTCACTCGTTTCTCAGTGATGTCCACCTCATCACTCTTGTGAGGAGTGACTGAAGAGAGACGAAAGATGATGGAGCTGGCAGCACCGGGCACAAACCAGCAGTTTAAAAGGGAGCCCTGACCACCCCTGTGAGCAGCACAGATGAGTTTAGTCCCGTTTTAAACCAGTTTTCTACGGCTGAGTCAGATCCCTCCTCCACCTTCAGTGAAATGAAGTAAGGAAATCTTAGCATTTTAAGTTTTCTGACTGTCCTAGCAGTCAGGGAAGGAGCCCCGGTACAGGCTTGGTTTTAGCAGCAATTGCTGCTGCACAACCTCCAAACACCCTGTGGTGGGTTGACCCTGGCTGGATGCCAGGTGCCCACCAAAGATGCTCTATCACTCCTCCTCCCAGCTGGACAGGGGAGAGAAAATATAACGAAAAGCTCGTGGGTCGAGATAAGGACAGGGAGAGATCACTCACCAACTACCATCATGGAAAAACGGCAGCACAAAACGAGGAGCTGCACCCAGCCCTCCAAAAAACACCGTAAATACAAAAAATAAATGTGCAAGATACAGCCCACCCACAGGCACATAATGAAAAATTAAGCTGGCAACCGTCAAAACGACCCTGTCGGTGGGTGTTAAGCAGCTGCGACAGCCAGTGGAGCGAAGGTGCCGTGCCACAGCACCCGGCTAGCACGGGGAGTGTCAGCACCCATCGCTCCTGGGGGCCATTGCTGAGGTGTACAGTACCTCGCCAGTGATTTTATGAGTGTGAACTTAAATGATAAAAGTTGTCGCAGACTACCACTATTTTTTCCCCAACTACTTTAATATCGTTCCCACTGAGCAGCCTTACTCCCTTGATTTGCATGTAAAGAGTATCCAGAATCTCAATGTGTTATGAGCACCCCCGTGCTTGGAAGGGTGCTCATTAATTTATTCCTGGGCTGTATTTTCACAATAAATTGTTTTCTCTGATGCCAGTGTAAGCAGTTTCTAATCCTTCTTGCAATTTGCTAGCCCCTCCAGTTGTGCTGCTACAACTGTTCCTGCAGCCGTGCTGCAAATCTGATTACCGAAATGTTTTTCGGTCCAAAATAACCCTGAGTGAATTCAGTGATTCAGTTTACTACTAGTTCAAACGCCAGATTTCTATCACTAAACCCCAGACAACACATTTGAGGACAGTTTAAATGTGTGTGCGGCTTTTCCTGTACTTAGAAAATAATAAAAAAAACCCTCAAACAATTTATAGAGCAACTAAGCGTGAAGCGTAATCCTCCTAGGAAAATATGTAAACCTAAATCCCCTCAGGCTTTGTCTAAACTAGAATTTTAAAAGATCTGGTACATGATAGGATACACTTTCAAAATATTAAGAAAAAATAAAGTCTGCATTTCAGGGTGTGCTGAACTTGCTGGCATAGACAAGGAAGAAGAGACCAAATATCTGTCTCCTGTGCCCACGGGTGCTCCCTTGGCTCCATCCACAGTCAGAGGACACACAGATGTTCTCACAGGGAGAAATTCAGGTCAGGAGGAGATCCGCCTCCGTTTTCAATTACATTGGTCCATAAACAAAAGTTGGAAGTTTCAACTACCAGCATCACTGATGTAGCAGATGATAGCTTTGCTTTTTAATACCTCTTTATATGTTATTAGCTTAATAACACACTTAAATGATGGTACCCTCCCATCTTGTGGTGTTACAACACCAAAAGCATACTTTGCATGTTGCTAGTCAAAGAGAGATAAACAACAGTACAACCTTGCCACCTTCTTCATATTAAATTTATCAGACTAGTCACACAGTATTTCCCCTTGCTGCCTGCTAGATGCTGTAAGGCGCTTGTACAACACTAGATGCATATTCCAGCCACCACCGCAACCCTCCTCTAAGCCTCTCCTCACCCGAAATTATCCACCATCCTCCACATCCAATGGCTTGGTGGAGATGGATGCAAGACTTTGAAGACTGCACATTCTGCATTTGCATCTGTTATTAAGGCAGATGCATTGGTTGGCAGAAATACACACAACTGCATTTCATCAGCTCCGGGGCAGCTTTAAACGCTGGTCATCCAGTTGCCAGCTGACTGTTCAGATTCCTCTGGAATTCCTTGCTGGTTGCAACTTCTTAAACCCAGTACCAGTAATGCTGCCTCCTGGTTTTCGCTTGCTAACCTCAAATGCAACACAAGTGGGATGGGAATCGCTGCCACCCCTCTTAGCACAAAAGAGCTTACAGTGATTTTCACCGGTAGTAACTTTGCAGTATTTTGGGGACCTAACATGGCAAGTGAGACTGCACAAAGAATGGGGGGAAGCTCTTTGCTCAGCCAAGTTTGGGAGAAGAGCACTGATAACCTGAGCTCCCTCTGAACTAGTGTGAATGTAAGCGTGACTCTGGATAAATTCATCCAGGAAGAAACGAAGGGAGAAAGCAGATGACCCCCCCCAAATCACCAGCGATGAAGAAGCGTGGGTCACACAGAAGCCTGCGGTGATATAAATGGGGGCTGCCCCAGCCCAATCCCTCCCCCTGTGCTGGCATCGGTAGTAGTGAGAGCAGGGATATCCAGCACAGCACCCAACACAGCTGAAAACTGGCACATCTTTCACCTCCCCCCAAAATCGTTAGTTTTCATCAGTTCAGCTCCCTGGCACAACCACAGGAGCACTGGTGAGGCAGATATGCAGCAACTCTGCTCAAATCAGTTCATACCGCCTGGGCATTGCACCCTCTTTTCACTGAAGAAGCTCAGCCGCAATGAAGTATGTGCAATTATTCCACTTTATCTTAAATCTTTATTTTGAGGCCTAATTAAGATGACCTAAATACCACTATTTATAAGCTTTCCACAGCTGGATATTATACCAGAAATGCCAACTAATGAACCTACCTGCTGTGAACCAAGTCACATCCTGTGCCACACACATAGGAAAAAATACTTTGGAAAAGCAAAGCTTTTGAAAGGGTGTTCCAGGGAATACAAGCAAAACCAGTTTTTCATTGTCTTCATTAAAAATTAATCACCTCAACCGGTGTTTAATATTTAAATTAATTTATCATCTTTCTTTCTGCAGGCAAGCAGTCAGGGCTTGTCTATACAACTTCTAAAAGGGTTATTTTTCAAAAATTGATTAATGTGCTACAGCAGCTGGTATACGTAGACACTTGCACTGAAATAACCCAAACTGGCTTATATCACACATCACCATCACTCTGATGTAAAGCTGTATTGATACCTATTTTATAATTAAACATGTCCTATTTCAATAATAACTAGGGGAAAATCCTTCTATTGTAAGGAAGAGTATCTATACACAGACTAAAACAAAACAGCACTGTGTGACTCATACAGGATTCAGGCTTTGGGATAAGTCTTTAAGCAGATGCATTTTCAATATAATATGCTTTAAAACTTGTGCAGAGTAGACGTCAGCCAGCTAACACACACTAAAATACAACTGCCCTTAATAACAAAATTAAAGATGTTTCAGTAAAAATGTTAATTTATCCCAGTTCACGGAAAGCCTTAAAAAAATTCCTCCTGGTTTAACTACCACATGCTAGGTATACCAAACTCACCCCTCTCCCCACACCCCCATGCACACAGAAGGCGTCATTTTAGCTCTGGAAAGATGATGACCTCCTAGCTCTAACGATCAGCCCCTGTAGGACATCGTCGGTCACAATCTCATGCAACTTACAGATTTTTTTTGTTTTAAAATCACGTAATACCACTTTCCCTTAAACACCTATCTAAAATATTTTTTTTCTGTTTCCTCCCTGTTCCCCGTGCAATTGTTACATGAGCCCAGAAATAACCAATACCCTACAATCAAATTCCAAGCCCAGTCCAAAGAAAGAGACTAAAGAGGTATTTGATGCCTTGGTACTTGAAACGGCTGTTTTCTAAGATGTTCATGACCCTGTTTGCATACCGGATTTATTTTTGACCAGCTGTCTGAATCTCTGTGGAAGTTTCTTAAAACCTAAAATGTTGTCTCCGTTTCCCCTCTCCAAAGTCAGATTAATATGTGCCTCAGTTGCAAAAATGAAATAAAATACAAGGACAAAAAAAGAAGTAAAATACAAGCACAAATAAAATAAAGCAGGTCTGTAACCAAAACAGCAAATAGCCAAAGTGAGTAGACTGCAAAAAGATTCACTGTAACCAACCCATCCATCAGTGGAAAATCATCTTCACTGTCAATTGCTGCAAAATACTCAGCTCAATTATGTTAAACATACAAATCTTAAGCCCCATAGACAGGAGGTGATAAAAAAATGGAGCTGCAATCAGAGCACTGGATAAATTCATCCAGGAAGGAAGGAAGGCGATGATAATCCAAGAGATAAGGAAAAATAAATCCATGTGTAATGACTTTCTAGCACAGCTACAAAACCAGGAAGAAAAAGCTGCATTTTAAATATGCCTAATTTTTGTGAAAGTTGTGGGTGTAGATCCCCCCACTTCTGTTAAGATTACAAACCTACAGTGGCTGAAGCCAGTAGCGTGGGTGCCGCTGGCTCCCAGAACAAAAGCATCC